CCCAGGGATCTGTCTGGGGGTGGGGGTGTGGATAAGGGTTGGGGCAGTCAGGGTACAGGTAGGGGGTAGAGTCCTAGGGGGCCAGTTAGGATGGGAGGAGGGTATCAGGAGGGGGCAGTCAGGGGACAAGAGGCAGGGAGGCTTAGGTAGGGGGTGGAGTTGTGGGGGGCAGTTAGGGGCAGGGGTCCCAGGAGGGGGCAGTCAGGGGACAAAGAGCGGGGGGAGGGTTGGTTGTTCTGAGGGGGGCGGGAAGTGGGAGGGGCAGGGGCGGGACTAGGACAGGACGGGGGCGGGGTTAGGGCGGGGCTCCTCCCATCTTCTTTTTTGCTTGCTGAAATATGGTAACCCTACAAAAAAGTCACATCCAGTATGCAGGTTCACAGCCTCAGTGCAGACAGGGAAATATCCTTAAACTAAATGGTGATTTTTGATTATTGCAAATTTGTTTTTTCTTTTCCTGGCAGTTTTAGCTGAATCATGAAGGAAACTAAAACAGTAAACAGCAAAGTGTAGCTTGAGTACTAAAAACAGCAGTCAGCTGATGAGCTAAAAGATTGGGCAGTGCTTACCTATACTTTCAGCTATACTCCAGGATACCATGCAGGCCATAGAAAATGCAAGTCCTCTTTGTGTGGAGACTAAGGGCCTGCCTGTGATCTCACTGACAGTGCTATAAATTACGGGTAACACATGAAGCCAAGGGGTTACGCAGGTATATAAGAGCTCAGAGTCAGGTCTCCCTACTGTTTTGAATGCTGGTATGAATGTTTCCTTTTGATAAACTCTATGCTAACTGGCTTAGGGCTGCTATTGTATGTTCTTTTTCTTGAAAACCCCACTAAGGTCCATTTAAACTCCTAATTTATAACAAACACATTATGCTACAACATGCAATAAACCTAGATCCTAAGAATAAGCTCAGAGAGAGGGAGCACTACACTGGAAAATTACTGAAGGGGTGTGATAGGGAAAATGGCAATATCATATTTAGGTAAGAGGTTTGAGTCATTTAGATGATAATAATTTTGAGATGTGGTCAAAACCCCCAAAATGTACTGGACAAATTTACTTCATCAGGAGAGATGAACACAGACCTCAGGCTCTGTTGCTCACTTCTCCTTCAGTCTCACAAATGTAACCGATTGGCCTTTTTTTAAAGTGAACATAGAAATTGCCATACTGAATCAGATTGGTCTCCTGCAGCGGCCCCTATCAGATGTTAGAAGATACTAGATCTCTCTTACTGTCATTCTGAATGCCAGTGTTTTTAAAAATGAAATAGTGGTTTATCAGATATCGGGGTGTGTTGGTTAATCACAGGATGACTGTGAGCCACCTATGTGATGCAGCTGCAAAAAAGGCAAATGCAATCCGAGCATGATTAAGGAAAGGCATTTCCAGTAGAGAGAGAGAAGTATTAATGCCTTAATACAAGGCACTGGCATGACCTCATTTGCAATACTGTGTACAGTTCTGTGTTCATGTTCAAGAAAGTTTAATTCAAATGGAACAAGTACAGAGAAGAGCTACTAGGGTGGTTAGTTGAATGGGGAGGGGTCTATATTATGAGAGGAGAGTGGAAGAATTTGCCTTGTTTAGCCCAGGAAAACAAAGACTCACAGGGGATTTGATTGCTGTCTATAAAGACGTGTGTGTGCATGTGCGTGTGTCTGTGTGTAAACACCAGAGGAGGGTGAAAAGCTATTTAAGTTAAAGGACAATGTTGTCCCAAAAACACATGAGTACAAACTGGTCATGAATAAGTTCAGGCTGGAAATTAGAAGAAGGTTTCTAGACATCAGAGGAGTGAGGCTTAATAGATTCCAAGGCCAAATGGAACCATTGTGATCATCTGGTTTGGCCTCCTATATAACACATGTCCTAGAACTTCCCAAAATAGAACAGTCTCCCTATAGGAGTATTGGGGGCAAACAACTTACTTAGTTTTAAGAAAGAGATGGACAAATTTATGAGTGGAATTGTTTGATGGGGTTGCTTGTGATGATGGGGAAGGACTGGGCAGCCCTGGAGGTCCCTTCTCATTCATGTCTGATATTCCTAAACTCTTATGATTCAGGGCTTCAGGGGTTGGCTTCAGGGGTTAGCGAGGAAGTTTTCCCCCCCAGTGTATTCTGGGTTTTTTGTCTCCTTCCTATGAAGCATCAAGAGATGGCCACAGATGGAGATGGGACACTAGGCGGGGAGGCCCAGGGCTCTGAGGTGGCTCTGAGCATTCTCTCTCTCGGATGTTTGGCTGGCTTGTTCTTATTCACATTCTATGGGTTTATGGCCCAGATCCACAAAGGTATTTAGGCTTGAAATCAATGGAAGTTAGGAGTCTAAATACCTTTGTGGAACTGAATGCCATATATGGGGTCAGAATGGAATTTTCCTCCAGATGAGATTGGTAATGTGTGACCCTTAGAACTCCTCAATGCCAACAGGTAAAGGGGATTACAAGAATCCCCTGATTCTGGCATGTACATTCTAGTTCACGAAAGAAGGGGCCATGTGAGGTCTTTAATAAAAGCTTATGTCATATTGATCCTCATAATTGTCACGTGATGTGTGTACAGATATACACAGCTCCTTAAATATATGAACTGTCTGTCACCAACCAAAGAGGAAAACAGCTTTCTTCCATGTAGGTGGTAAGAAATGGCAATTTCTGACAAATGCTAATCATGATCCCTCAATGGCTCTTTGTCAACACCTGTTGTAAACTGCAACCACTTAGTATGTTTTTAAACATGACTTGTCCCTGTCTACACTAGGTGCAGATTGGAATCTAGCAGAGTGCTAATTAAAATGTGTTAGTTACCATGTTTGCTAACATTTTCACATTGTAGATAAAGCCATGCTCAGAAACTCCTGTAATACCTGCATATTATAAAGTGGAGTTTCTGCTGTCATTGTGAATTGCCTTGATTTCATTAACCTTCCAATCAACCACGTATATTCTTGCTCCTATATTGTTTCTAGGGAACACATGCCTACCTACCTAACAAATGTGAGTATTTGTCTATATAATAATAGCTAGCACTTATATAGTACTTTTAATCAGTAGATCTCAAAATACTTCACAATCTTTAATGTATGTATCCTCACAACAACACTGTGAGGAAGGGAAGTACTGTTATCCCCATTTTTGAGATGGAAAACTGAGGCACGGAGAGACTAAGTGACTTGCCCAAGGTCATGCAAGAAGAGCAGGGAATTGAACCCATTTTTAATTAATGCCCTAACCACTGGGGCCTCCATCATTACTTTCCTGCTTGAGGTAAAAATCTAAATACATGGCCACAGTATGCAGTTACTGCATTGTCACTTCAATACATCTAAGCCAAACAGATGGTCCATTCCTGACTTTCTGATTTACAATTGTGTTTAAGGATAGTATGGTTTTTGGTTACTTCTAGTTCTGTTCATATTTTCTGTATGTTCTAACTCTGCTCCATTGAAATCAACAGTAACATGCCCATTGACTTACATGGGAATAGAGTTAGGCTAATGAAGCATGCTTTCGAAATTCCCAGCTGTGGTGTTAAAACCCACTATCACAGCTCCAAGCACCTCTAAATTTTGGTGATGTTCAAATGCAGCTGAACTCTACAGCTTCCCCCATCTCTATTTCAGTCCATTACCTCAGATCTGAATGCTGTTAAACTAGGGGAAAGTTTGCAGTACAGACCTACCTTTGGTTAAAAATTAAATTCCTTTAATCCTTGGCTTGAACTAAATTGTTTCCTCACTTCATCTTGCACGGTCACTCTCCTTCCTTATCCAAATCTTCACTGTCACTCCATGTAACTAATCTAACTGTCCTTCATTCATTCTCAAGCCCTAAATTACATTAATCTTCATCGTAGCTAAAGTTGTTCCAGTATATCTCTGTGCCTGTCTGTCTTCTTTAAACTGTTGTTCATTCCTCATCTCACTCGCTCTTTCTCCCTAGTTGGTGGCTACATGCCACAGAAGACTGACTGCATCATTTTCAGCTGCAGGCTCACACCCACTCCTTTGCTCCAGGAACTGTCAGTGGGAGGCTCTGGCCATAGCTGCAGTTTTTAGCCCAGGAAACATTGCAGCAGCTGCAGCACACCTCCATTCAGAGGTCACATAATCCAAGCAAAGCGGATAGCTCTGGTCACTGATTTCTGAATATGCTCCTCTACTGTTTTTGTATGCTGGTGAAATGCAGAGTAAAAACAAATTAGATTCACAAGGAATTATTATTGCTATTATTTATCAAGCTCCTGCTAGATGCAAGGTGCTCTGTAAGCTTAGAGGAAGGCACAGTCCTCGCTCCAAAGAGCGTACAATCCGAAAGCTGAGACTAACAATATGGGGCTAGCCCACATAATCCATCAGCTAAAGGTTCAGGATCAAAGAAGTGGAGCTGTTTATGTAGAATTATCACTGAAAAGCTTCCTGGGAGAAGCATGTTTTAAAGAGGGATGCACAAGAAGAGGGAGGCATTCTGTAACTACTATAAAAGAGATGGAATTATTGCATCCCACCCAGCACTATTGCTACCTCCACCCCCAAAATCGCAAAACTTCCCGATTTGTGTTCATCAATAATTAAGGACCCATCAGCAATACTCAAAGGGAGCTTACGTTGCATTTTTGAGCAGCCAGTTAGTAATGTACCGTGGATAGATCCTCTTTTTCAAATCCCAGGACACCAGGCCATGCAAGGCTAGTATTGCATTTTCAATTAGCTTCTGAGTGAATGCTTGGCATATGTAGAAGTGACCTGCTACACAATTAGATTATTGTTCTTTCAGCTTTGTGTGGAGAGGATCTGAAGGATTGGAAGGGGGGGGGGGGAAGAGCCAGCCAGAGGCATCACTGTGGATATGGAATAAGGGATTGCTCAGCTCCTGCAGATTCACTTGCTAACTCGGGAGTTACAGCTGTTATTAGGAAGCATTCAGTGTGGCTTTAGGGAGTGCGCCAGGGGATAATCACTTAGACGACTCTCTGATTTCTTGTAGTCTGGGCTCTTTTCTCTTCTGAGTCTCCTCATCATTATTATGGAGCCAAACAGTCCTAAAAAGATCCAATTTGCTGTGCCATTATTTCAGAGTCAAATAGATCCTGAAGCAGCTGAACAGGTAAGGAAGACAGATATCTTTCACTACTTGGGGGACTGGGTGTGGGATGAGAATAGGTAATATTCATGGCCTAAATTCTTCTCCAGTTTACGCTGGTGTAAATTTAGATTAAATCCATGGAAATCAATGTAGTTATGCTGGAATAGCCAATATAACACGGGGCAGGATTTGTCCTATTGTGAGAATGCACATTTTAACTCTCACAGGTTTTTCTAAGTATATATTAGCTGTCTGACTTTATTCTTTTAACATGTTTTGCACAAGAGATAAGCACACTTTATCTGAATACATAATTTCGAGCTGAATCAATATGGGAAAATTAGCTGAAATGTATTGTTTCATATACACCAAAATATACATTTTATAATTTGTATTGAAGGGAAATATTGCAGAGCCTGGTTAGGAGATAGCCCACTTGCAATTTATTTTGGAGTTGGAGCAACCCATTTAAATGTTACAAGATAGTAACTTACTGAGTTATTCCCCCACATTTTAAGAATTCTTTACATATCTGTTACTGTTTGCTAAGTATTTCATGCATAGGTATGTGGATGTGGCTATATGTGTGACTATATATACATACGCACACTCAAAAATATAGATATACAGTACATATATATATGACAGCCGAATCTGACTCGCCTGTAAATTTATATACTGTCCAATCCTGCATTTCTTACCGGCTGACCTCTCATTAGTTATATCTCTCTCTATATATATAGATATATAGATGTGTAGAGCTACTTCTATATATAAGGAATGATAACCATAAAATCTTAGAAGACAGAGGTGGATAATACCTGTTAGTTGGTCTAGTCCATCACTGTTACTATATCATTGTTCCCTGTTGTACATTTACTGTTGTTTTGATACGTCTAGTTTTAAATGATACCAAAGATGTAATAGGGCTTTGACAATTCCACTGTAGAGTGATGGCAGTGTAATCGTTTACATCTGGAGGACAGACATCTTTTTCCTTATCTGCTGATGTAATGTCTCCTAAGGGGAGGCGGGCTTTGCCAGGAAGAGATGAGTTGTTGTTGGCAGCCATGGAGGAAGGGGAGATGGGGAAGCGGGGGTACAAAGAACTTCCTGCAGCCTTCAACCTGCCCAGAGATGGTTTTACTAAATATATATTTATAATTTTGAGAATGATCCTTCTATTAACTTTTGCAAGACCTGGCCCACCACCTTTTGAAACCAATGAAAGTTATTGCCTTCAAGGACTGCAGAATTGGGCTCGTAATTAAATCCCTATGGGCTATAAAATATTATGAGCCAAGTTCTGCCCTACATTTATGGGAAGCCCTTTTGATTATGTTGCACTTTAATTTATGGGCTAGGTGCTCTATAGTTTTATTTTAGATGTTTGAAGAAATTACATCAATACAATCTGGAGTAACTGTGTGAACCTGACTGAGTTACTGTGGATTTCCCCCACTGAGAGCAGAATTGGTCCCTAGATATCCACAGATGTTGCCTAAGCAATTAAAAAAGGGCCAACACGTTGACAGAGAGATTGTCTCAAAATGGTGTCTGGGTTAAATATTCTTGCGCATACTATTATATTCTGCTGCATAAGTGCCAATAGCCTGGGGGCTGTGATATAAAGTTTAGAAAAGCTTTCTTCACTAATATGGCCATTATTGGAGACTATTCCAACATCATGTTAGTTAATTGTCTAACATTCCTATTGGATGTTAATGGAACCATAAAACCACGAGCGAACTTTTAAGATTAAGATTTTAAATAAAAAGAAACCCATACAATGGCGATTCACATTTACATATATAAACAGGTGCCATATAGCATGCTTAAGAAATTTCCTTTTGGAAATATTAATAAAAGGGTTTTTTTTAATTGCTTGGAAATAGATTGATAGGAATTTTTTTAATGTTCCTGTATTCACTGACATTATTTATCTAGTTATTATTTCTTTGCTCTGCTTATATGCTTCACAGTCAGAGCAACGTCAATGATAGAAAGAGAGATTTAAAAAAGATATTTCAGTTAATCATTGTTGGTGATAACTATGGTAGTGCTAGAAATCCATGCTCACATAGCAACTTAAGAACAACAAGGAGTCTGGTGGCACCTTAAAGCCCAAATAAATATGTTAGTTTTTAAGGTGCCACCAGACTCCTTGTTGTTTTTGTAGATACAGACTAACACGGCTACCCCCTGATAGCAACTTAAGTTCTTTCCCAGAAGTACAGATAAGGGGTTATGTTTTCAAAAGGACCTCAGACTATGGCTATACTGCAAATCACTTGTGGTGGCAGGGCCTGTGTAGCTGCATAACACAGTGAAAAGCAGACTTTGTCCACACTGCAGTGTGGAACTACGCGCATCAGTGAAAAACTCTGATGGGGAAGGCAGTGGGGAAAGGCTTGGCAGCTGCTGGAGCCTTTCCCTGCTGCCTTCCCTCTGCCAGAGCCTTTCCCCACTCCCAGAGCCTTTCCCTGTGGCCTGCAAAAACTCCAGCAGAAGGGATGCAGCCGGACACTATACTGGTACAAATAGTTGTGTAGATGGGAGAGTTATTTGGTGAGTAGAGAGTCGTGCCTGAACCCATAGGGTTCAGGCATGGCATATCTTTACTCTACTTGCCTAACCAGTGCCTCATCATCTACACTCTATTTATACCCATGCTAGTGGGGTATGTAGTGCCTGTACTCTACATGCTGCTGAAAGGAGTGTGTAGCATGGACATACCTTAAGTGACTCAGGTGACTTGGTCTTTCCCTGGGGTTTATACTCCTAAATCACATAGGGATTTTTGAAAATCCTACCCAGTGACACTGATCCTGCAGTATGTTGTACCTGAATTGATTCTGATCATTATTACACTCACAGTTATTAAGACAATATTTTGAAAGCTGTTTTCTGTGTGCCTACTTTTGCCATTGACATTGTTCAATAAGACTCCTGACGACTTGTACTTTGTTTTGGATGTAGGGTGGTGGGTATCTTTAATGACTCTGCTTGGGCCTGTGTTTTTCACAGATCAGGAAAAGAAGGCCCACACCAGCATCACTAGTTATTATGAATGAACACTCACCCCCAGGTAAGTAAAAATGTATCTTCTAAATCACAAGACTGGTGTATGGGAACAAAAGGCCTGTCTTTTGCAATATGGTTTTAGGAAATAAGTGCATTCAAAGAAAAGAAAATCAGCATTAAGTTCACAGCACTAAATGCCAGATCATGGGCCATACATTTGTTCACGGAAAAGAACTATGAATCTATACAAATCCTGTATAGCATAACTCCCATTGACTTCAGTAGGGCCAGCAATCCATCCTACATGTGAATCTCCTTGATGCACATGGAATGAGGGCTCAGTTGCTTCTGGGCATTGGGGGTGGTCCCAGCTGCCCCTTCCACACACCCTCTCCTTCACCAATGGGATGTTGTGGGGGAATCTGAGGAGTTAAGTTAAACTAACAGAGTTCTTGGACCTCCAGTTCCTAGAGGGAACCAGGTCAGTTGCAGTGCAGAACTTTAAAACTAGGGGCTTCTGGGTAGGAGGGCCATTCTCTAGTTCTCTGCTGAAGCATATAGTGTCTGTTCTCTCTCTGCTCTGATAACAAAATCTTTGTGGGGCTTGTGCTCTCACCAAAGACTCCCCTCAGAAGTTTTCCTGGGAGAGTTCATGATGATTTGGGGTCAGGACATGCTTAGTCACATATCTATGCCTCCACAAGGCTGCTAAAGCAAATCTGGAGTTTCTAGACCAAGCCATTTTGGAGACACAATGAGCTAAAGAAAGCACTAGAATTATTTTTAAAGAGTAAATCTCGGCAAAATCTTCAAAATATCATAATTTAAAACTCTTTATCTGTTTTTATTTAACCAAACTTCCCTGAAAAATGGCCTTGGGGTGAGATGCAGCATGCACAATTTCAGGATAATCAGTTTCTTTTCTCCTCTGAGGTGGGGATTGAAAATCAAGCTTATAATGGAGAGCTACCAAACTACGGAGAGATTAGTACCACTCCATAATAAAGGCCTGTCAATAGAGTGAGTGATCCAAGATTAGCTCAGTTTACTGTTACTGTGCCATTCATGTAATGCACTTGACAAATTTCCCAATCAGTTTTCACTACTGCTCTTTAAAAGCTTTTTTGAAAGACTCCAGTCCATTTACAAAAGTTCATTTCCAAATTTCTATAAATGTAACTTTGCATTATTCCTGCTGACAAATTTTATGCTGCAATTTACAGATTAGTTTTATATAGGCGTGTGTTTAATTTTCCATTTAATGACAGAGGGCCCAGTTACCATCTTTGCTAACAATGAATAGTTCTTTACTCTGTAAGAAATCCCACTGATCTCAATAGAACTATCTGGGGGTCTGGAACTACTCGACATGAATAAGGGTAGCAGAATTGGGCCCATGCGTAACATATATACAAGAAAAAGAAATGGTTCTCCTAAAAGTGATACCTGGCTTCTAGTGAGCTATAATTCCACCTCCTGCAATGCCATTTCTGGAGATAACACTTCGTGAGTAAGTAGCAAATTAGTCCCAATATAAATAAGGATAATAACAGATCCTCTATACCAGGGGTCGGCAACCTACGGCACGTCGTGCCGATTTTGAGTGGCACGATGCCTGCCCGGTGAGAGGAGGAGGAGGAGGGGCTGGAAAGCGCCACGCTGGGGGAAGAAGCGGGGGAGAGGGGAAGCTTGGCTGCCGCAGCCAAGCTTCCCCCCTTCCCTGCTTCTTCCCATGGTGCATTCCGACCCCTCCTCCTCCCTCTCCCTGCCGGCGATGGCCCTTGTGAGGGGGAGGGGGAGCAGAGCAGAATGGCAGCGTGCACACAGCTCCGTAGAGGAGGCAGAGAGAGGTAGGGACGGGCCTTGGGGAAGGGGGTGGAACAGGGCATATCCCTCCCAGCCCCCTGCCATGAGCCGTTCAGGGCAGGGAGCACCCCCACGAGCCAAGCACCCCAGCCCTCTGCCCTGACCTCCCCCCACACACCCAGCCTTCTGCCCTGCACCTCCACACACACCCAGCCTTCTGCCCTGCACCCCCCACACACCCCCAGCCCTCTGCCCTGAACCCCCCCAACACCCAGCCTTCTGCCCCGCACCCCCCACGCCCCCAGCCCTCTGCCCTGAACCCCCCCAACACCCAGCCTTCAGCCCTGCACCCCCACACCCACCAGCCTTCTGCCCTGACCTCTGAATCCCCCCCACACACCCAGTCTTCTGCCCTGCACCCTCTGCCCTGACCCCTGAACCCCCCCAGCTGCCGGCCCGTTGCCAGCCGGCGTCCCGGCCACAGGCCCTGCTCAGCCCGCTGCAGGCCTAGGTGAACAGAACCCCAGGCTGGAAGCGGGCTGAGTAGGCTGGCAGCGTAAGATCAGCATTTTAATTTAATTTTAAATGAAGTTTCTTAAACATTTTGAAAACCTTGTTTACTTTACATACAACAATAGTTTAGTTATATAATATAGACTTAGAGAGAGACACCTTCTAAAATATGTGAACATGTATTACCGGCACGCGAAACCTTAAATTAAAGTGAATAAATGAAGACTCGGCACACCACTTCTGAAAGGTTGCCTACCCCTGCTCCATACCAACTGGGATCATAAAGGCCATAGTTCTGGCCACTGGTTCTACAATCCACAGGGTAGGAGGAGTAAATAAGAACCTAATCAAAGATCAATGGGTATTCTCCTCTCTGGAAACACACAAATGAATTGGTGGGAAGGGTTTGTTAGACAAATTTAGACAAACATGGAATCATAAGAGTCTAGAAAAAAAGCAGCTGGATCTCTTTTCACTTTTTGTGTTACCAGTCCCCTGAATATTATTTCCTATTTTAAATGGAGGGAAATCGCCTTGAGCACGTTTTAAAAATAATTCAGATTTGTTCTCATTGCCCTAATAGGTTGTTTGGTTTCTATACTTAGAATTTTTTTCCTTAGAGACTAGCTCTATCTCGGTTCTTTTAGGGTTCAATCTTTCAAGGTTCTGAGCACTTCCTGAGAGGTGCTGAGCACCTTCAGTTCCCATTAACATCAATGGTAGTTGAGGGATGATCCTTCCAGAGCTGTACACATAGGGATTAAAGCCAGAATACATTGGCTGCACAGCTCATAGTAGCCACACTACACAGAAGGATCTGGCTCTCAGTCTCTAACCTTTCCCTAACTCAGTGGCACACACCACATCAGGGTTGCTAGGCCTTAATTTAAAACAAACTCACCTTGACTGCTGTTCCATATTGCAGTTCGTTCTAAATAGGCTCGTATTTCCTTTTGTAAACAGAGTCCTGTTGCAGCACTAAATCAAAAACAAACAGAGACTAAAGACACCTCTCTGATTTACAGAAATTTTTATTGTAAACAAATTGGTGCATGCCTGTTATCTCTCTTCATACAATGCTTACAATACAACTCCACATAAATCATTTTTATTACTATTTAGTACTGCAGCAAGTATCAGTGAAATGTTAACCATGCCATGGAAAGAACATTGACACATTCAAATAATTGGTACATGAGATCATAGCACTTGGCTCATTCTTTGGTTAAAGTGGGCATGTATCTTATTTATTTCTGAATTTTTTGCAAAGTTAGAATTATTTTCAAAAATGAAGTCTTAAAGCTTTGCCAGAAACAGTATGTCTTAGTAAAATTGTGTGTGTGTGTGAATGTATTTACATGTGAATGCTTGATGTGTGCATGTGTATAGTGGTGTGTGTGCACATGTGTATGATTTATGTATGTGTGTTTGCGTATATATATATAGAGAGAGAGAGACTTCTTATATATACGGATGTGAGTGTGTATATGTGCAATTGTACATCCCCTCCCTCCTTATTTTTATATAGAAGCTTCACTATTTGGTTTGGGGGAAGGGTGCTTCTAAGGATTAGGTGTTCAGATTTGGATGTGCTTTTAAAGGTTGAGATGCCTCAACAAAGTTTATTCAGACTTTCAACCCCTTGAAAAAAATGAGGTATAAATCTTGTAAGAACAGGCTCTCCTGCACGATTTCTGGTGTATCTGCTCCCAGAGGCAGCTGATCAGAGCACAGCTTTTGTGGTATTTTGGCATGTCTTGTTGCAGCCCCTTCTGGAAACTAGAGAGAAACAAAACTTATTTGAACCTTGCCGAACTTTATAATAAATTCAATCTGAGTTGTGCTGTACAAATGGTTCAAGGTCAGAATGGCTTTTTTCTTTCCTGAGCCATTTCATCCATCCCTTATGTCTCCTACAAAATCCAGTACAAAACCAGGAATCTATCTGCACTGACGTAAGTAGAGGTCATCCTGCTTTCAGGATAAATAATTTTGAACTAATGGTACTTTCTCAGAAACTATAAGACAAGTCTGTTTGGCTTCCTCAAAATTTACATCAAAGGAGACTGAACACCATACCACACTAAATGATTTAAAGGCTGTTTGTGGATCTGGCTTCAAGAGATACATACAGCATAGGGGAGCATTGATTTGTGTATTTCCCCCTGCACATAGTGTTGGAACCATCAGATGGCCACATATAACTGCAGTAATAATTTGCAAAGGAGAAGATTTAAATTCTCAACAGCTACAGAACTTCCTGTAGAGACAAAACATCACTTTAAAACAAAATGAAAGTTAAAAAAACCCCACTCAGCATCATCTACATCCATCCTGGAGACATCTTTTTGATGGAGGGCATTCTGCCAATATTATGACTGTGGTGGGAAGTTACCAATAATAAACCCAAATTGACCTATGGCTTCAAAGGAGTTACGTTTTTCATTGACACCAGCTGAGGATCTGGCACATTATTGTATTTATTATGCATTTAAATGTATTTTTGTTTTTAATTTTGGGATAAATGTGATGTTTATGAAAGCAAAGAGCTAATGCCACTGGAGAGAGCTATGCACAATATAGGCCAGTCCTATGCAAAGTTTCCTTCACAGCTAAACTCCCTTTGCTGACATCAGAATTTCAGCCTCCAAAGTTTTCTCCTTTGTTATATATAGTTGACATATTTTGTATGGTTGTAGTTAGATGTTTACAGCTGCTAACAGTGTTGGGTTTTTTTTTCACCAT